CACCGTTTGAGGTCTATGGCCGACCTTGTAGGTTTCCAGTTTGTTGGGCTGAGGTGGGTGATGCACCTTTGTTGGGTCCGGAGTTGGTGAGGGAAACGACGGAGAAAGTGGAGCTTATTCGTAGGAGGCTTGTTACAGCCCAGAGTCGCCAAAAGAGTTATGCCGACCGTAGGAGGAGGCCTTTGGCATTTGAGACGGGTGATCATGTTTTTCTGAAAATATCACCTAGGCGGGGTTTGATGAGGTAGAGCGGAAAGTTATCCCCTCGGTCTATTGGTCCCTTTGAGATCCTTGAGGGGATTGGGGAGGTTGCATACCGTTTAGCTTTACCGCCGCAGCTGTCCGAAGTGCATGACGTGTTTCATGTTAGTATGCATCGAAAGTACGAGCCAGATCCGTCCCATGTGTTAGATTGGACCGATTTGGAGGTAGGTATGAGGAGAGGCTGATTCGGGTCTTGGATAGGCGGGATCAAGTCTTGGATAGGTAGATTTTGCGGAAGCATCACGGAATGGAGGAAGCCACTTGGAAACGTGAGTTGGAAGTCCGTGAAAAATATCCAGACATGTTCGTTAATGTGTAATCATGTAATGGGAATCTTGTGATCTTGTTGAACTTTAAGAGCATTGAATATGTCTTAAGTTGTAAAACATTGTATATGTTGTGATTAATGGAAGTTATTTTAACATTGTGTATGTTAAATATATTGTGGAAATGCAAGCATGATATTAATGTTGCAAATATTATAGAATTGTGGAGAATGTGATGAAATTGGTAAATTTCAAGGGAAAGCATGTTAATAATGCATATTGAATTTTATATTCTGATTTGCCTCTTGGAAAGAGATGAGATGTCTTGTAATGAGTCGGAATGTTGAATAATGAGTTGTAATGTTGTAGGGATTTGAGAAAACTTGTTTTTGAAAACGTATACTAAATTTTGGGGACGAAATTCTTCAAGGGGGAAGGTTATAGCGATCCCGATTTTCCTTTCCTTTGTATACTGTATTTCGGACTTGGTTTCGTGGTTGTGTTGTTGTCTCATTCTCATTTCCATCCTTTACTCGTTATATTTGAGTCATGGATTGTGTTGGGCAGGTTTGGAACAGGTTGGTTGTGTTTTGAAACCAAAGGTTGATGCCCAGAATTTGACCTTCACGCTCGAGCGGGACTTTTGATGCTCGAGCGGGCCCCTTGTTGTTGCTTCTCCGCTCGAGCGGCAATTTTGACGCTAGAGCGTAATTTTCCATCTCCCAGTACTTTGCTCTACAGGTCTTCGTACGCTCGAGCGGGGAGTTTGACGCTCGAGCGAGGACCATGTCTGCAAAACTTCTGCAGGTGTGCAATCGACGCTCGAGCGGCTCTTTTGATGCTCGAGCCTGAGTCTGTGCCTGACGCTCGAGCGGGGGTTTCCACGCTCGAGCGGGGCAACTGGTATATCACTTCGGGATTTGACTTTTTGGATCACTTTTTACATTTCCTTTCTCTCTCTTACTTTCCCAAAATCTATTTTGAGAGCTCCTCTCTCTAGAACCTACCTTCTCTCTAAGGTTTGATCTCGTTAGAGTGACCTTCTACCTTAGTTCCTTTGCAAAAGTTGTAGAGCTTGGTGTGGGCTTCCTATCAATCTAAAAAATTCTTGATTTGGAGCATTTCGGATTTCTTCATCATCACCATTTGGGTTCATCTCTTGAGGTAGGGATAACTACTCATTCTTATGGGCTTTGACTTAAATTGTTGGTCATTTGGATAAAATGTGGAAGTTGGGAAATTTTGGGACTTAGGGTTTCAAAATGTATAAAGGGGGTTTTGTTATTTTGATTCTTAAACATGTATTTTGGGTCTCAAAATGGTAGTATTGTGTTGGTTGTCGATATTTGAACCTTTGGGTTAATATTGAGAAATGGGAGAGAAAGCCCTAATTTGTGCATAAATTAATTGGTATAATTAATTTGAGAAAATTATGGGTTTATTGAAATTGAGTTGAATATAATGAAAATGGTTCATTATGAGATGATATTGTGGAGTTGGATTTATTAATCGCTCACTGTTGAAAATATTGATTATTTATCTGTTGACGCATTTATTATCTATTTAGAAATAATTGCTTTAGGCTATCGGTGGAGGATAGTCTTGATTGTTGTAGACAATACATGATGATTAGGAAAATTAAAACTAATCAAATGAGTATGCCATCGAATATGGCGGTCGATATAATACATGAATTTTATATATTGATTTGATTATGTATATGATATGTATTTATATACATTGTGTTATGTGGGAGTAGATAGGGGATGCACTCCACGGTTTAGGGGAAGATAGGGGATGGACCTCTAAACCGGATATTGTGTGGGAGAAGATAGGGAATGGACTGCATTGATACAGCACTGAAATGTGTATCATTTGTAAAGTGTGAAAATGTTTTCGTTTGATATTGATACAGCACTAAAATGTGTATCATTTATGAGGTATGGAAGTGTGTCAGGTGTTATTTATACAGCACCAAATTGTGTATCTGATATGTAGTGTGAAATGTTTAATATGTGTCATTATCTCATCTGAAATAGAAATGCTATTGATATGAGATGTGATCTCAATAAAACTGTTTGGCCAGGTTCTGAGCCATAGGTATGCATGAGAATTGGATACGAAATGGTTTATGAAATGATCCATATGAGTTAAACATTTATCATTGGCCAATGTTTTAGTTATTGCTTATATCATGTTTAGCATATCTCTACTGGGCATTGGCTCACCCTATATGGGACATCATTTTCAGGTACAGGTAGCATGCCACCTCCAAGGACGTAGCTTGGGAGGCTTGAGGCTGTTGGACTTTTTGTTGTTTCCCTTTGTATTACATGTATATCAAGCCAAGGGCTTATTTTGTATCTTGAGTTAGTACTCTTGTTTTGTAACCAAGTGTTGACTTGGAAAGTTGAAAGCCTATAGGGCACTTACATTTGTTGTCAACATGTAATACATTGTGTAATGAATACTCTGATGATATGTAATTATGCTTTATTCTTTTATGTCTAAGCATATCGAGAATGTATGGTTTATGGGTTTAATTTGAGGGCGTTACAAAATATCCATCTGAACATTTTTCCTTTTATTCCCATTCTCCTCTTTTACTAGTTAAATTTATTACAACTCCATGACCACAAATTCATGTTCCCTTAATACTAAAAACAACCCTCATACACTCCATTCCCACCTGCCGATCTTTTATTGCTATAACTCTCTAACATAGAAATCCAATAACACTTACATCACATCCACATTTGCATTACCAACTATAATTTGATATATCACTAGGATAATAAATTCTTTTAATTCAATTTCTCAATTAATCATAAAGAAAAACTCTTAAGTTTTCTTTATAGATACAAATAACCCGGTGAGTTCTTTATCACCAATCCCTTATCCAGCTACCATTTCATTATCCATTCGTTTCAAATAATTCCCATAAGCATTTCCATTCCATACCAATTCACACATCAAATGGTAATTTCACAAGTTCATCACAAGTCACATATATCATCATTGACCTCAATACACGTCACAACACACTCCATCTTTTGCCGGCTTGATATGGCGGGATAGCGGGCACCCAATTCATAGCACATTCCACCTTTTGCCGACTATGATACGGCAGGAAGTGAACTCCCAAAAATCATTTTCTCAAAAACCATGTCTTTTCCGAAAATCGTTTTCAACCTTTCAAAAACCATCCCCCACATTTGCCAGCTATCATACGGCAAGACGTGGGCACCCAAAACATTTTCGAAAACCATCCGTTTTTCCACTTTTGCCAGCTACAATACAGCAGGAATATGTGGACACCCAAAAACATTTTTCCACTTTCGCCGGCTACAATACGGCATGACTGTGTGGACACCCAAAATCATTTTCCCACATTCGTCCAACGATAAGCCTAGACAGGGCAATTAGGCACCTTGAATTTAAACCACCCCCACATTTACCGGCTATTATATGAATGGTTGTGGGCATCGAGAAAAACCATTTTTCAATTTTTTAAAACAATTCCCCACTTTTACCGGCTATGATACGGACGGTCGTGGGCACCGAAAAACCATTTTTTAACTCCCCGCGCAGGTACCAACACAACACCACCCAATACAACTCAACCCAAACTCAACACAACCCAACACAACACAATTCAAACTCAACACAACCCAACACAACACAATTCAAACTCAACACAACCCAACACAACACAATTCAAACTCAACACAACCCAACACAACACAATTCAAACTCAACACAACCCAACACAACACAATTCAAACTCAACACAACCCAACACAACACAATTCAAACTCAACACAACCCAACACAACACAATTCAAACTCAACATAACCCAACAGAACACAATTCAACACACTCTCCATGATTCAGCACAATTCAACATAGTCAACTCACTTCAACAGAATCAACCCAATTCTACATAACTCAACACAATTCAACATAATCAACACAATTCAACATAATTCCAGGTGAACTCTTAAACTTTCACTTCATCATTTCACCCCAAGGCTCATGTCATCCATATCATTAATAAATCATTTTCCCCAATCTTCATTTCACTTTATAATATGATCTACAATGTCCATAATAAGAGTTCATTTGCTAATTTTTAACATAATCTTCAAACACTTCCAAAGTTCAAATTAAACTTGTATATATATAATTCAATACCTCAATTTCATGATTTTACTTTCAATTTGGGCAAAATCATTAATTATCATCATGAATCAATTTAGGGTTTTTAAGCGAAATTAAACCTTTTCACAAAACACATTTTATTCTAACCCTTCTATTATTTTTACACCCAAACTCATGACCCAAGATATTGGTTGTCCTTGGGTTTGTTATGCTTCATGTGTAAAACATGATGGGTTGTATAGGATCAAAACACTTGTTGATGAGCACACTTGTAATAGGTCTTTTGATGTGGCACATGTGAGTTCCAAATGGATTATCAAGAGGTACTTTCATAAAATTAGGTTAAATCCTACATGGCCAATTCAGTCATTGGCAGACACTATTTCAAGTGAGCACAATGTGAAGGTTGACTTACAAAAAGTGAGAAGGGCAAGAAACAAGGTGTAAACACAAGTAGAGGGTACTGCAGCTAAGCAGTTTGTAATGTTATGGAGTTACATTGAGGAGATTAGGAATACCAATTTTGAGACAACAGTCTGCATGAAGGTGTAACAGATTCCAAAGGTTAATGAAGGGAGTAATCCAAGGGTTAATGATGGGAGCAATACAGAGTCAAAGCTCAAAAGGTTGTACTTGTGTTGGAGTCCATTAAAGAAAGCTTTTATGAATGCTTGCAGGCTAGTGATAGGAGCTAATGGATGCCATTCGAAGGGATCACATGGTGGTATTCTTTTGACTGCTGTTGGTATAGATACAAACAATTGCATATTTCTATTTGCCTATGCAATTGTTGAGAAAGAGAAGAAGAAAACATGGTTGTGGTTTCTAGAGCTGCTAGGACATGATCTGAATATTGTAAACTCTCATTGTTATACCTTCATGAGTGATAAACAAAAGGGTTTGATTGATGCAGTGGCTGAGTTGTTCCCAAATGCTTCACACAAGTTTTGTGTGAGGCATTTGTACGACAATTTTAAGGGTGAACACAAGGGGTTGGTTCTAAAAGATCTGTTGTGGAAGGCTGTAAGGGCAACAACTGTTCCTATATTTACCAGAGTGATGGCAGAGATTAAAGAAGTTGATTGTAAGGCATATGATTGGTTAGTTGAAAGACCACCAATTCAATGGAGTAGGAGCCACTTTAACACTTTTCCAAAGTGTGACCTTTTGCTAAACAATCTATGTGAGTGCTTCAGTTCAAGCATCTTGGAAGCTAGGAGTAAATTTGTGGTTACAATGTTAGAGAAGATTAGGTTGTTGTTGATGGAAATAGTTCAAAAAAGAAGAGATGTATTGCAAAGACACAATGGTCCTATATGTCCTGAAAATGGATACAGGTGGATGGATTCCTAAATGGAATGGCAGTGAGCAATACAAGCTGGACTTGCAATCTTGGACTTGTGGCTGCAGGAAGTCGGATCTATCAGGCATTCCATGTGCCCATGTTGTGGCTGTTACAAATTTCTTAGGCCAAGAACCAGAAAAATATGTTCATCAGTATTACAAGGTGGAGACTTATCTGAAGATCTATGACAATATGTTGACTCCTATTAATGGTAGAGAAATGTGGCCAAGAACGGAGTATGCAAAGTTGTTGCCACCTGACGTGAAAAAGAGAGCTGGGGGGCCTAAGCAAAATAAAAGAAAGGAGACTGAGGCACCAATTCAAGGCACAAAGCTAGGAAGGCAGGGCACTAAAATGACTTGTAATAGTTGTGGGAAAGTGGGACACAACAGGAGAAGTTGCAAGGTCAAGGGCAGATTCAACTACATGCAAGAAAGCCAAGCTCAGGGGAGCCAAACTGAATCAAGCCAACCTCAGAGCCAATTAACTGCAGAAACACTTGATGTCAAGAGACACATGAGACAGAAGAAACTGGCTGTCAGTGTTCTTTCCTTTTCTTTTTTTTTTTTTAATATTTTAAATAGTAACTTAACTGTCCTATATTTGATTTTGTTTAATTGTGGATAATTCAATCTTATTGCAGGTTAAAAGGAGAGTGGTACAAGGAAGTCAATCAACTCCATCTCCAATGAGTTCAACAAGCACACCAAAGGAAGGTCAAATGATGTGGAGAGGCAAGCTAGTGTACAATGCTAGCGGCATTAAATCAGCATCCACTGGACAGAAAGAGGGAGTGCCCACTTGACATTTTTTTTTTTTTTGGTTGGATAGAAGAAGGAAGCATCTACATGACTTTCTCATTGGGGCTTTTTGTACATGTACTAATTTTTTTTTTTTTTTTGTTGCCCTGAACTTGTTAACTATGTAAAGGTAGTATTTTGGTTGTCACAAACAATTGTGTGTTTTGAAAACTTGAATGACAAATTTATGATTGTTGCTTTTGTGCATGATGCTCTATTTTAATAGATGGTACTCCTCATTTCTATGTAAATGTAGCTTGTGTTGGTTTTGGTTGCCATTACATAGATGGATTCCAATTGTGTTTTGAATAAATTCCATTGATAGGTTTTTTATTCATTGAATGAATCCCATTTGATGGATGGATGCTAGTGATAGGTTTTTTATTCATTGGTTGCCATTTGATGGATGGATGCCAGTGATAGGTATTTTATTCATTGGTTGTGAAGGGACCATTCAAAGAGGCCACCAATTAGTTATTTTGATGGATGGATGACAAATAGTTAAAGTAACACACAATGCCACTTTTGTTTTGTTTTGTTTTGTTTGTTTTTTTTTTAATTAAATGATAATGCTGTATTTTTGTAAGGAAGAACACAAATTGTTTTTTAAGGGACAAACAAAGGCTGTGATGCCTTGTTTTTTTTAAGAGTAAAACCTTAACACAAAATCTGAAATTTTCATTCAAAATACTTTCCTGATTACATTTTATTCATCATATTTCCCCCCATTACATTCATTCATTCATAATAGTCCCCCATATTACATTCTTTCTTACACTACATTACAAACCACATTGATAAAATGATGCACCGTGAGGTAGCCAAGCATATCCATAGCTTTCTCTCCCTTCTATTCCTTGTCTGCAATCTTGCTTCTAGCTTATTGACCTTCTTCAACAGCCCAGGGATGATTTGCATTGCTCGTGAGCACATACGTGGGTCAACCCAAGTGAACTGATTACAACCATTCGTGGGACAGCTGAGGAACCTCCTACCTGGATTTGCATCAGTCCATGATGTTTGTATCACCCTTCGTCTTCCATAGCAAATGCATCTCAGGCTTCCATGTCACTTGCACTTCATCTTCCTTCAGTTGAGTTCGATCTTCCCAGATTTCTTAACCCTATATTCCTCATTCTCTCTTACCACCAAACAGATGCTCTATTTTTTTTTTTTGGTTGGGAGCTTGCCTCTATTATATATTAGAAGGGAGAGGTTGCATATGGCGGGAAACCCTCTTATATTCCCTCTAAAAGAAAGTTCAGGTGGACAGCTCATCACATTTCGTCCAATTATGGACAGAAGGTGACGATAGGGGTCTAATTGATCAATTTGTGGAAAGTTCAAGTACTAAATTGAAATAAATCGAAGTATGGGGGTGCACGTGAAAAACTAGTGATAGTTTGAGGGTAAAATGATATTTACTCAAAAAATAATCAGCCCACGAATGAAAATTTACTTAGAAGGTGAACTGGGTTGCCCATCGGAATATTGGCTTGCTTGTCGTTTGTTATCACTCTTCCGCTTAATTGATTCCATGACCTCATCTTCTTTCTTATCAATAGAATCCTCGAAGCTAGTCATATGTGATGTGCTTTTAGGTCTAGCAGATTCAGGGTCATCAATATCTTTTTCCTCATCCTCCGGGGTGTACCTGCGATACTGCCGGCACAACTTACAGAAAAATATTTTAACTGCATGGAAGCATGTTGTGCCACAAATAAGGAATAGGCCTCTAAAACAAGCGAGAGACAGAATGTTTTCATCAACTTGGTTGGCTTACATAGAGCACCTATTGAGCGATATCCATCTATCGTGGATTCTTTGGAGATCACCATTTTCTGAAAGTCATAGAATAGTAGTTAACAAGTCCATCACAGGAGGAGAGTCTTTATGAAATGCTTGAGTCAGGAAATTAAACATCATAATCATATTGGACCTTTATGCTATGTATCAAGTTACACGGTAGATTAAAGCTGTGTATTTGGATCAAGGATTTGTGGAGGACAAAAAAAGAAAAAGAAAAGAAAAAGAAAACGAAAAGTGAATGAAATAAAAGTTCATTTTTATTTCCCTTTCTTTTCTATCCTAAAATTCTCACTTAAATCCTTAATCCAAACATAAGCTAAAGATAACTTTGTCAAGAAAAGTTCTCACTACACATAGACATGTTTATACAATATTAGCAACAACCCACAGAATCTTACTTTCTTCTTGGAAATCAAATCATAGTGATTGGAATAACATAAGCACTATTTGATAAATAAAAAAATAAAAAATAAAAATAACATAAATGCTAGAGCCTAGAAGCATATAAGATTTGGCCAAAACTCAAGTCTGATATAAAATAGATATCAAATTTAGGCAACAAGGATATATTTTGGTAACAGCTCACATGTCATGTTTTCTATTGATATTAACTTGTCACCTTAAAATCTTATTTGATTGAAGTTTGGCTTAGCCATTCCAAATATTGCAGCAATAATTACTTCTTTAGGATTATACTAAGAAAATACTTGCAAATCCCCATCCGCTTTTAGTAAATTCTTGTCCCATAGTTCTAAATTTGCAACTGGTCTCGTATAATAAAAGCTCAATGTAAGGAAGCTCGTCAACAATTTCAGTTGCACCGCCTACTTTTGGACCTTTGTGGAGGGCATCAACATATGCAAATGATCCATCTTGAACTCTAATTGCATCTGTACTTAAGATCAAGTTGTCAATCCCTTCAATATTTGACGTCAACTGTTGCACTGTGAGGATTGATGTCAAGTTAACAATGTAGCTTGAATTGATAAGTAGCACTAAAAAGAGCCATAAGATCAGCACCACACATCCCATGACAATTGAAAATTTATGAGAAGAACTACCCTACACTTGACCTAGAGTTAGCAACGGTGATTTTTGCCTTAAAAATCTTGAGGCATTATCTATACGGTGAGAGTTTTGAAGTGCTTTCTGATCATAAGAGTCTAAAATATATGTTCTCGCAGAAAGATTTGAATTTGAGACAGAGAAGGTGGATGGAGTACATTGAAGATTATGACTTTAAGTTGCATTATCATCCAGGGAAGGCCAATGTGTGTAGCTTGACATTTCGTGCTCCTTTCGGATATGACAAACCCTACAGTTCGAACTCCCATGGTTCTGAATCTGATTCCACAAGTGTAATGCGAAATAGATAAACACAAAAGAGTCCAAATCTGGCAATTATTTTGGAAAGTCGATTTTGAATCAAAATGTCAAAAATGGACTGCTTTGCTAGATACAGAGTCCCCACCTAAATATTTTTGGAAAATTTAGGAAACCCGAGACTCGTGCCAAAGGCCATGTGTCCGTCATTGCCAAAGTGTCTCGGCTCGGGAACTTAGGTACGAGAAGGAAAGGTCACGAATTGAGCACCCCCGCTCGCTTGATCAAAGATCGGCCTCTACTAATCATGATGTGATTCTTATTTACGTTATATGCTCTTGTTCTGGTTATTAGGCTAAGTTTACTATGTGACACACACACAAGTATAGACTAATTTGCAAAAGTTGGAATATTTTGATTTCATGTTTGTTTTGAAAAAGTATTTTGATTATGTACCACTTGGAAAAGCGATATCATAGGTACATTCATCAAATTATCCCAAATTAGGCAATTAGCCTTCATCTATAGGCATCCGAATAGATATATCATTTAAGCACGTAGCCTCATGGTAATATGCTTGGTATGGTAACACTCACACGCATACAATATGCTAAAGCAAAAAATGCTCACCTGGTACTCCAAGGCAAGCCAAAGAAAATAAAATAGTTAGAAAAAATGCATGATCCTAACTAATGCACTATGAGTAATGCAACATATACAAGATGCAATTAATAGGCTCAGCTCTTAAACATGGCATGTGAATCAACTTGATAGCATGCAGTCCAAGCACGTACTCAAGTAAGCAATAAATAACAAATGTGAGTTAGAATGATGTGCCAAGCCTAATGCATGCAAGACAAATGAATGCAAACCATGAGAAATACTAAGTAAACATGATGCTCTATTCTACCATCATAAGCGGGTAAATAAAAGGAAGAAAGACATGGGGTTGGAAGACATGCACATTATTAGATTGTGCCCTCCCACAGGAGGGTGCGAATAAACTAACTAGCTAACTAATTACTACGAATTAACTAACTATTACAAATCAAATTAAATAAACTAACTATGCTTGCTAATTATTACAACACCACAATTAATTAACTATTCTAGCTAATTATTACAAATTGGAACTAACTAATTAATTACACAAATTAATTAATTACAAATTAACAATACGAATACAACCAAAAGAAATAGCTAAGTTAAGTAAGTAACTACTCTAACTAATTAGCCCCGAGAAGTGAGGAATGCTCATGCATGCACGCGGATTTAAACCTGAAAAAGTCCCCTATTTTGCTGCTAGAATGCCTCTGTTGCACAATTAGAAAATTGCACTTTTTTTTTTTTTAACCTTAGCCTCTGCTCTATTCTATGCCAAAAAAAGGTACTACTTGGTTTGATAAAAGTGGCCGGTAGGTCAGAAGTGGTGGCCGCCAAAAGTAGCTTGTCGCCCAGTAAAAGTGGCCTACCGGCCACTAATGCTTGGTTCCTTTTGTTGCAACAGAAAGCATATAGAGCACAAGCAGAGTATTCTCAGGAAATGTTTGTCCACCATACCTCTCCTTATCATCAAACAGCTCAAATGAGGAGTTGGCTCGACTCACAAGCCATCAATGAGCACAATTTCATTGCGTGATGACTTATGAACCAAGGGATGCAATTTCAGTAAATGATAAGAAAAGACCAACAAAATCTCCTTCCTATCATAGATTGATCAAGGAAAGTGGTTGACCTTGGAAACTTGAACCATTTTGTCACTAGCAAGTATGAAATGACCCAAGTTTCCATGTGTTCAATTAACGTCCGATTGAACACCAAATTGCTTTATTATCTTGTATCTCTCTTAGTCCCAATTTTATTACTCCATTTT